GGAAATCTGCCGCGAACCCCTACCTTTTTTTACATCTTCTTTAAAGGACCCCTCCTAGCGGGAATCTGCCCGGAACATCTTCTTTTTTTACTTCTTCTTCAAAATCTAAAACCCCTCTTCCCGAAAAAATGACACATCTTCGAGGGAATCTGCCCTGAACATCTTCTTCACCCCTAAATTATGCAAATTGAGCTGGATCTCCTTTTGCTTATCTACTCAAGTGAAAATATAAATATATGTACTATGTAGACGTAAAAGTAGGTAGCGCAGAAATATACTATTCTAACAAAACTGATAATAATTCTTGCGGGTGCTTGAGCCCCGGAGCACCCGAGAAGTCGGCGCCTATGGGTGGAACTAACAACTTTTTAAACTTCATCTTCGTAAGTTGCAGGGATCGATGTATGTGCTTTTTTTGTAATTAATTATATTCGAAAAACGCCCCGTAGAAGTTTGAACGCTTGAAAATGCTAAATAAAGTATTTTTCCTTACCTGCCAACTGGGATGCGCTTTCCTGTAATACAAAAAGTTCTCCCTGATCCAGTGGTAGATGGCCGAGAGCGTCATTTTGTTCCCGTTCTTCCCCATCGCCATACAGATCAAGGTGGCGTAGGAAAACGGCGGTTTCTTCTCCCCGTTCTTCTTGTAGTAGTTGATGTTTATAGTCAAATCCTCCTGACTGCTGTTGGTACTCTTCCTGACTTTAGGCTTGGGGGAGGGCGACACTGGAGGTGTGGGCAGGTTAGGAACCGACATTATATTGGTAATGTTGTGCAACCAGTTCAGACTCGTTAGATCCGTTTCGTTCTGTTCGTCGTGCTCGCTCTGAGGACTGAGCATGGCGGAGTGCATCGGATTCTGTTGCAGGTTTTCCGTAGCTGACCTTTCCTCCATTTCCTTCTCTTCCATCTTCTGGACGATCTCGAAGTTCTCCGCGGTGTTCTTGATGGTTTCCTCGTAGATTTGGTAGGGGATGATCTCTTCGTAGTACTCCTCCTTGAGGTCTATGAAGTTCTGGTTGGTCAGTTGCGTTTGAAGTATCTCTTCGTTGACTATATACTCAGTGTTTACTATACCGTTCTCGCTTTGAAATTGTATTTTCACTATCTGACTCTCCGGGATGTTGATGACGTTCGTGGATTCCACTTCGATGCAGTTTTGAACTTCCGTTGGAAGGTATTCCACTCCTGTTTGGGTTTCGATGTTTTGCAGCAAGGCTAAGTTGTTGGGCGGACTAGTTTCCAATGCGTTCGGACTGGAGTCGAAGAATAATTCCTTGTTCAAGTTCTGCAGGTGCTTCGTTGCGATCTCTGTCTCCGTATCTGGGTCCATGGGGGAAAAATTAAAGTCTATATCACAATTCTGCAGGTTATCCATTTTGTTACATATTTCCAATGTCATATTGAGCAGGTGTGAGCAATGCGTTGCTGGTTTCTTCTTGGACGGATTGGTTATCACATGATTTTCAATTCGATTGCGTTCTCGTGGTGGTTAAAGGCCATTGTTGTCAATCTGCAACAATGGAGAAGTATTATTCGTGTGCGGGTATCTGACAGTTGGACGTAAGCCTTCTAGATAGAGAGCATAGAGTTTGTTAATTTTCGGGGGGATGTCTAAAACCTGTTTTAAGTTTGTTAAAACATTTAAGTATATGATTAGGTACCTTAATGTTATAGATAACAGTAATAATGATGATAAACATATAATTGCAGGCACATATTCACTATAGACCAGTGCTTAAGCCTTCAAAAAATGGTAAAAAGTGAAAATAAATTATAGTAGGATGAAACCCATTGGAAAAGGAGGAGAATATAACAGAAATGAAAAGAAAAATAATTTACGGGCGATCTGAGGTCGGGAAGGGGAAGGGGGTGAGTTTTTAAGGGTAAAAAACGGTTTATCTTGATTTCCGGAAAAACTACAAGTCTTATGGAAAAAAGTTAAATGGCAAAGTTGTAGGTAATAAAAAGATCTACAACTTTTGTATTTACACTTTTTCACATAACCTCAAAATTTATGTGAAAAATTCAAATAACCAAGTTTTTGGTTTTTTATTTTTATCTTTTACAAACAATTTATTTTTTTTCACGAAATTTGGTGAAAACTTACCTATTTATGTCCCACACACGCTGTAATTTTTTTGATTTGAAATATTTATTTTTTCACCTTATTTTTACTTAATATCGAAAAAGCACCCTAATTTTCAATCGAAAATTCTCACGTCAAAATATCTGCTTTTTTAAAAACGTCGGTGGGCTTTTTCTTCGTTGAAATCTCTACTTTCTGATGGTGTAAAAAAATATATACATTACTATGGTAAGTTTTCTCAGGAAATGCAAAGAAACGAACTAGAATCCGAAAATTTTTTTCTAATCATTATGTACAATTTTGAGCTATTTATTAAAATTTACACTTTAATTACTCGAAAAACGTAAGATTCCATGTTACATTGATAAACAAAAAAATTACAAGTCGAAATATACTATTATAATTAACAACCAAATAAGTTAATAAAGTTAATATTTAATAAGACATCTACAATATTTTGAGAAAGTTGTAGAATCTTCTTTCGTTTCTTTGCATTTCCTGAGAAAACTTACCATAGTAATGTATATTTTTTTTTACACCATCAGAAAGTAGAGATTTCAACGAAGAAAAAGCCCACCGACGTTTTTAAAAAAGCAGATATTTTGACGTGAGAATTTTCGATTGAAAATTAGGGTGCTTTTTCGATATTAAGTAAAAATAAGGTGAAAAAATAAATATTTCAAATCAAAAAAATTACAGCGTGTTTGGGACATAAATAGGTAAGTTTTCACCAAATTTCGTGAAAAAAAAATTTTTTTGTAAAAGATAAAAATAAAAAACCAAAAACTTGGTTATTTGAATTTTTCACAGAAATTTTGAGGTTATGTGAAAAAAGTGTAAATACAAAAGTGGACTTTGCCATTTAACTTTTTTCCATAAGACTTGTAGTTTTTCCGGAAATCAAGGGAAACCGTTTTTTACCCTTAAAAACTCACCCCCTTCCCCTTCCCGACCTCAGATCGCACGTAAATTATTTTTCCTTTCATTTCTGTTATATTCTCTTTCTTCTCCAATGGGTTTCATCCTACTATAATTTTTTTTGCTTTCAAAAATTATCGACCCTGGTCTACTAACGATTTCAATGATCTTTATTATTATTAATGGGGCCCTATCTTGGCCTGTTGAAAAGTACATAAGTAGTCAGTGATGATTTAGTTTTATACTTAATTATTTAGTTAATTGCGTGTGCTGTGTAGAAAAACCAAATCTTTTTTAGTTTTTAATATTGCAATAATTATATGTTACGATATAATATTTTCCTAGTACAGTTTTTTGTTGTTATAATGCCGGTTAATATAAGACATTAGTTTTACTCGAGAGTTATTTTTGTATTGTACGAAACAGGGTTAGAATAGTTATGCATCTGAAAAAAACTGATCCAGAGAGTAGAGAGCCTAATTTTAAAAACAGAAGAATGGCTAGAATTGTTAGACGTAAAAAAATTTAACTACATCTTGAACAAACTAATTTTTTGCATTTTGACTGATAATTATGCTATTTTACTAAATTTAAAGTTTATTTTAAATTTAATAAGCAAATGTAAATGAAAATGAAATAGTGTTTCAATATATAAACGATGACACCCGAGATGACACCCGCAAATTTGGTGATTTTGATAGTTTGATGTTTGATTCTGAGGAGACATATTAAAAAGGAAGAGAATGGTAATAGCTACTGCTAGAGCTAATAAAGCCAATGTATATATAGAAGAATATCATTGATTAGAGGCTTATTTGAAGCAAATATCGAAAGGATATATTCCGGAAAAAACTAAGACATTGACAAGAGAGGATATTTTGAAAGGACCCCGCAATAATCTTATGGAAATTGGGTTTCTGTCAAATTGTCTGAATTTTTGATATGTTGTAGATTTTGTCATCCTGAACAAAAGTCTCCATGGGCACAAAGTGCCAAAATGAACATTTTGGCAGCTACGGAGCTGCCAAAGCTCCCCTGACCCGTTGCAAAACTATTCATTTTCAATACTATTTACAGATGTCAAAAGCATATTTTAATTATTTTAATATATAGGGTAATGTTTTTGAGGTCACTGAATTCAACCCTCATGTCAGATTGGACAAATTGACCGTTGACAGCTGTCAATACACTGTCAAAGTAGAATAAAGAAGAAAATATTCTCTATTGTTATTGGGAGTTTGTCAACTACCATTTTCTCCAATTCTAAAAAGAATTGAATTTAGCGAGTTGGCCAACATAAACTCTCAATGTAAAAAGAGGATATTTACTTTTATATTCCTCGTTGACAGTCAATTGACAGCTGTCAACTGTCAATTTTGCCAATCTGGCATGAGAATTGAATTCAGCTCCCTCAAATGCCCAAACTCTCAATGTGAAAAGAGAATATTTACAGTGTATTGACAGCTGTCAACGGTCAATTTGTCCAATCTGACATGAGGGTTGAATCCAGTGACCTCAAAAACATTACCCTATATATTAGAATAATTAAAATATGCTTTTGACATCTGTAAATAGTATTGAAAATGAATAGTTTTGCTACGGGTCAGTGGAGCTTTGGCAGCTCCGTAGCTGCCAAAATGTTCATTTTGGCACTTTGTGCCCATGGAGACTTTTGTTCGGTATGACAAAATCTACAACATATCAAAAATTCAGACAATTTGACAGAAACCCAATTTCCATAAGATTATTGCGGGGTCCTTTCTTAGAGAATCATCAAGTCATACACATCTTTTGGAAATTGTAATATAGGGAATAATTGGCATGTGCTTAATAGGTTTTTGTTATTGTAGGTTGTTTTAGTAATGGGTGTTTTTGGAGGATTAAGAAGAGATGAGTTGGTAAAGCTCTTGAGAGATGATATAGATGATGATGTAGTAAAAATTAACGATACAAAAACTGAAGTATCGATATCTTTTACTATTGTGGAAGAAAATAAAATGCACGCTCTTCAATTGTATCGACAGTATATATAAAATTAAAGAACGGCGGTTCTTGTACACAGGCCATTGTTTCCGTCGTACATCGGCAACTCTTCTCGTAGATGCAGATATGATAACATTGAAAATACATGGAAAATGGAAGAGCGATACTGTAGCATCAGGATATGTAGACGATAGCATAACGCCTAAGAACAAAATATTTCGTTTAATAGCAGGAGTCGAAAGAATTAATGATAACAATTTTTCTGAATTGATTGTGAGGGAAAATGAACATTTATTCGACGGCAAAGAAAATTTAGATAGCTTCAAACTTTCAAAACTAGAATCTTCAAGCTTCAAGATGCTTCTTCTTTTTCTTGATACGACCACTATTCACGAAGTTAGAGACTTTTAAAAATCAGTAAAAAATTTGGAAATTTGCCTGCCCCTTAATTTTTTTGCTGACTGTAATTAAAATATGTTTAGTACATATTAGTTAGTTATTGCTAAAATAAATGACAGTGCATGTTTTTAAGTTTAAATTTCATTGCTTTTTGTACTATATGCTTTGAATTTCATTAAAACATACGTTGACAAGTAGGTCTGTATGACAGAAAAGTGTAAAAAGATACAAATAAAAGGACCACAAAAGAAAAAAAAACAAAAATCAGTCTACATAAATCAACCATTACTATCACGATTAATATTTGTGCGTCACCGATATCCGGTACAACAAATTAACAAATACCAAGCGTGGGAAAAATCGTCCCTCAATCGGGACCGATAAACGTTTCGAGCTTACCTTGGGCCATCGGGGAGCGAAGAAAGCCGGCCAGAAACACAAAATCGGAAACGGACGGGCACGCCGAGGTCTCACGTAGCCCCCGGGGGCCTTCGGGGCACTCGAAAATACCGTCAGCGCCACAAAGGACACTCCACCTCAGATTTCGATCTGCCGGAGGGGTGGTTGGCTGCGAGGCGAGAGAAAATCGGTCGATTTCGACCGGCGTGACGTCATCGAATGACCAGAGCCGTCCGCGATCAATAATTTTCCCGTGAGGCGGTCCGTGTCATCCCCCGCCGCCTCGGACATAAACACCTTATCTCGATTGTTCATCGGCCTACTGGGATGTGGAGGAGGAAATTTAATTTTGACGTGAATTGGTGTTCGCTCGGTGCACTGACTTAAAGATCTAGTTGGAAACTAGTAGCAGGCGTCGGTTTTTCGAAAATATCAAATAATTATTACTATTTAATATATATCATCAATTAATGTTATCGCACTTCTTAATACGAAACAGGAAACGCAGCATGTACAGTAGAACAGCACCAACCATTACTGTGCAGGTCCCTTGCTATTTAATTTAAAGCCGTTGTATGGTCTTGGCGTCC